GTCTTTTGTTTGTATTTTTTAAAAGAGTTAAACGACGCTTGGCTCGCAACTCATAAGGTCATGTGAGAGGTGTGTGTGTACAGGTTAGCATGCATGAGAGTGTGTAAGAGTGTACACATGTGTCCATCAAAGAATGAGGTCAATGAATCTCTGAACAAAGCTGGAACAATTGGCACTACCATACTTAGACCTGAGCAGGAACAGTACCCTGGATCTCAGATCCCGTTCTGTCTAACGAGCATTGAGAGAGTACACAAATCTAAACAAAAAGAACAGGGCAGAGTACATGAACCATTCAGCACCTGTGGATTTGTCCTGATGCACGCTCCAATATCCGGGTGAGGGGAGATAACACTCTAAAATTACCATGTTCTTATAATATTCATTATAAAAAATTATTATCTACAAATTGACTACGGAAAATTGCAACTGCTATAAGAAAAGAACACCGCTTCCAATGAGCCAGTCTCTGCTGTGATACTGTTGAGGAAAGTTATTTATTTCTCCCATTATAGTTGCCGCAGTGTTTTCGTGTTCGGCAACTGGAAAGCTGCGCAATGCCGCTCGTGCTAATCAACAGACTCCATGCAATTTTGCTCTTGGTGTTAGATGATTAAAAGGTGAAAAATCATAACTTATTAAAATTCAAGAAAATCCCGTTTCTTCACAGTTCCCTGCTATAAAAAAGACTCATAAACCCTGTTCCCTAGCTATAAAAAGGTACTTTGCTACGCAGACACACAAAGTGTAACTGACAGAGGTACGAGCCTATCAGCTTACAGTTGCAATGATACATGTCACTCGTCACTGTGAGGACTAAAGAGGCTTATTGGAGAGAAATACCTGGCTGATACATTTGTTGAGAAGTTGTTAGACCTTCCATACAAAAAGAGACACATAACTGGTCACTTTAAAGGACAAGTGGGCTAACCCAGATTTCGGGGGTTACCAGAAATCTTGACCTACACCAAAAGTGGGCTAACCCAGATTTCGGGGGTTACCAGAAATCTTGACCTACACCAAAAGTGGGCATTGCCCTACCTATAGGAGAAGTTTGGTTTCATTGGTGTGTATATTTGTTTGTTTTAGAGAAAACTCTCCTTGTCTTTTAAAGAAAGTGAACAAGGGGCAAAAACTTTACCTTTGATTTTCTCAAAACAGCATTTTCCAGGATAGCCCCCTTGTGTCTAAAGGCGACCAACTATATAAAGTAACATCAGTAAACGTATCTCAAACAAAACTCTTTTTACAAAAGGAGGGAACCACCCCCCCCAAAAAAAATAATTAATAATACAGTATACTCCAGACAAAACACTAGATAATGACTTTGATTGGCGAGCAATAACAAATAAAAATATTAGACCATTAATTTGATTGGCGAGCAATAACAAATAAAAATATTAGATCATTAATTTGATTGGCGAGCAATAACAAATAAAAATATTAGATCATTAATTTGGTTGTCGAGCAATAACAAATAAAAATATTAGATAATTAATTTGGTTGTCAAGTAATAACAAATAAAAACATTAGATAATTGATTTGGTTGTCGAGCAATAACAAATAAAAATATTAGATAATTAATTTGGTTGTCAAGTAATAACAAATAAAAACATTAGATAATTAATTTGGTTGTCGAGCAATAACAAATAAAAATATTAGATCATTAATTTGGTTGTCGAGCAATAACAAATAAAAATATTAGATCATTAATTTGGTTGTCGAGCAATAACAAATAAAAATATTAGATCATTAATTTGGTTGTCAAGTAATAACAAATAAAAACATTAGATAATTGATTTGGTTGTCGAGCAATAACAAATAAAAATATTAGATAATTAATTTGGTTGTCGAGTAATAACAAAACTAGAGAGGCAATCACCGTTCATGAATCCGGCCCACAGCGTGCTGTGATCTTTCTTCTGCATGCTGTTGATGACCTGGCCGCGGTGCTTCAGGGCGTCCGCCTCTTTGACCACCGAGATGAAGTGAGACTGAACCACCTCCTTACTCGAGCAGCGCAGCAGCTCCTCTTCTGGGAAGTTCTGAGAGGGAGGGAGGGAGGCCGACGGAGGGAGCACGGAAAGAAAAGACGAGAATGAAAAGGTGGAAAGTACAGACGAGATTGTCCAAGACAGCCAGCCATTGTGGAGGGGAAAAGTGGTTGTCTTAGACAGACGCACGTCCTGTACGCTGGCATCGTAACACAATTGTACAACAGATGTTGCTATTTGTTCATATATGGTAGATTTTTGGTCAATATGGCATGTACCCATCATGCATGAAATAATTCAGAAGTTAAATCTCAAAGCAACAGAATTTTTAGTTTTAGTAAGTAGCCTATTTTACAGCACTTGCAACATAATTTAAGGCCATATAAGTGCAGAAGATCAGAGGTGTTACAAGAGAGTAACAAACACAAAAAAACAAGGAGGAAGAGATAAGGACGATAGACGCTTCACAGGAAAGAGGGAGCAAACCACAACAGAGCCCCCGCCAACTATCCACAACAGAATTCTTTTTTAAATAACAGCAATGCAGTCACTATATATGGGACAACATGACATTCTGGTGAGAGCAGTCGCGTGCCCTGTACTCGTCTGTAGCTGGTGAGAGCAGTCGCGTGCCCCATACTCGTCTGTAGCTGGTGAGAGCAGTCGCGTGCCCCATACTCGTCTGTAGCTGGGCCCAGCAAGGAGAACAGAGCACAATGTGTTACTTAGGGATACCCATCAACCCTTTAAACAGGAATCAGACAGTCTTAAGAACAAAACTTGTGACTGTGAAACTAAGAAATGTGAGGCAGTGTGGTGAAATCAGGCGCTCGTCAAAATACAGAAATTGGAGAAATATGCATTTTGCCGAAAGTTTGCAAATTTTTTTTTAATTTTTGTTTTTTGGCCCAATACCTTTTTCTTTGACGTCTATATGATAAAAGGAAATTTATATCTGGATTGTACAGAAAAGTGTTGATTAAAGGTACAAAAATTGAACATTTTCATTTCCCAAGGACTCTGAAGTTACGGAAATCACCAAACTTTGGCAGCCATTTTCTCGATAAGTTTACCTCCGAAATCAGGTGACCCCCACTTTCTTCAATCAAAATTAATTCGACTAAGACAGATGGGTATTTTCCTCCAATTCAAGAGAAACAAATAAAATTTAGATGATACCATTAACTCAGCACGCCCAAAAATTGACGAGCGACTGATTCCACTGTGATGAGACACAGACAGTCACAGTTATACCAGTCATCACAAAATAACCCTTTGAGTGTATAATGGGGGGGGGGGGGGAGAGGGAAATGTCAAACAATAACAACCCCCCCTTCCCACTAACCTGGGACGACCAGATGAAGACAGAAAGACTTCAAAAAGAAAGAAGAAAAATATAATAAGGTCAACAAATATCATGGCCATTTCTTACTTGAAAATGAACGGTGAGTTTCCAGGGCAAATCGGTGGACATTCCATACAGATCAAACAGTACTCCGATGGGGTAATGCCTGAAGACCAAACAAACAAGTATTTCTTACTGAAAGAACTGACACGAAAAAATCCAAGAGAAAACTTCCCTATAAAACTGGGAACATACATTTTTTGGCGGCTTAAAGAACCACTCCTTAAAGCTCATGGAGACAAAAACTTGCTGCGTGTCATAGAATGTTTCGTTAAAACTTACCTGAATTGATAACAACAACAACTGCTAGATTGACAACAACAGCTTTAACTTGCAAAATTTTCAAAAATAAGTTGTTTTTTAAAATCCTCACTAAATTCATATTCACTGATAAGAACTTGTGCCTAAGTACGAAAAGCATAAAAACTCAAGTAGTTTATTAGATTTCCAGCACGTCTCTCTCTCTCTCTCTCTCTCTCTCTCTCTCTCTCTCTCTCTCTCTCTCTCTCTCTCTCTCTCTCTTCTGGCGCTGTGGTGTCATAAAGGGTCAGCGATGCCGACAGCACGCAGGAACTCAACACTTGCCCGGGGGTCCTTGAAAAATGCTGTAAGTGGGACCGAAGAGCTAGGACCCAGATGGTCGTTGGATCGGAAAAGTAAAGTACAGTTAAGTTAGATTTCCAAACTACAGAGCCAATCACTCGACTACAGTTCCACTGACCACTTCAACGGTTGACCGTCAAACTCCAGCCACATCTCTCCGTGGTGCTCCGGGTCCACATGTTTCATCATGTGCCGCAGAACTTTGTCCGTGACCAGGGGGAAGTAACTCAGACGAGGCACCAACAGCTGGACACGGCAAAGACAAGAGATAATTTACATTTTTTTAGCCTTTAATCATCGTTTTTCCATAAAATCCAGACATAAAAGTGTTTTTGAAAGAACATACAAGGTGTGGAGCCAAAAAACAAAAATTCAAAAGAACCAAACTGGCTGAAAAATGCTGATTTCTTGGATTCAATTATTTTGACGAGCGCCCGATTTCACTTGGATGACTAACATTTGGTCCACGAACGGTATCTTACAACCTTTTCTGCTTCACCGACTTCATCCACAGGCCTGAGCCATTTTTCCTTGCAGGCTGCCACACAAAAGAGACAATCCAGTGCCTTACAGTCTAACACGCACACTACGAAGCATGCACATATGTATAGCCAACACTTTTTCAGGTCCCTAATTTTTTCAGACATATCATTCTTCGTATAAAAATCACTTTGGCAGAAGGCAGAGAAAACAAGGTACAATGAGTGTGTGTGAGAACACATGATACATTCACAAAAGATACAGATGAAAAATTAATCGTTGAACTTTCTACAGAGTTTAACAAGTTTTCCAACCTAAAAGCTTACATAATTTCACAATTTTATTAAAATATGTTTTGCAGAAATGAATTGTTAAGAAAACTACTGAATCACTGGTCAGCTGAGCTCTATCTCTTGTGACCTCAGCATTGTCAAATGAAGTTCGACAACAAAATACCGACTTACAAATTGTAACTACAACAACAAGAATTTTGAATATCATGACTCATTTCTAACCAAACCCAAAAGTCCACATACCCAACGATGGACTACATGACACAAAGACCGACTCACAAAAGTCCACATACCCAACGATGGACTACATGACACAAAGACCGACTCACAAAAGTCCACATACCCAACGATGGACTACATGACACAAAGACCGACTCACAAAAGTCCACATACCCAACGATGGACTACATGACACAAACACCGACTCACAAAAGTCCACATACCCAACGATGGACTACATGACACAAAGACCGACTCACAAAAGTCCACATACCCAACGATGGACTACATGACACAAAGACCGACTCACAAAAGTCCACATACCCAACGATGGACTACATGACACAAACACCGACTCACAAAAGTCCACATACCCAACGATGGACTACATGACACATAGACCGACTCACAAAAGTCCACATACCCAACGACGGACTACATGACACAAAGACCGACTCACAAAAGTCCACATACCCAACGATGGACTACAAGACACAAAGACCGACTCACAAAAGTCCACATACCCAACGATGGACTACATGACACAAAGACCGACTCACAAAAGTCCACATACCCAACGATGGACTACATGACACAAAGACCGACTCACAAAAGTCCACATACCCAACGATGGACTACATGACACAAAGACCGACTCACAAAAGTCCACATACCCAACGATGGACTACATGACACAAAGACCGACTCACAAAAGTCCACATACCCAACGATGGACTACATGACACAAACACAGACTCACAAAGAAAGGGTCGGGTTGTTCCCCAGTGTACACCTCTTCTTGAGCAAGTTGAAAACATACCGGAACCTTTCCTTCCCATATCTCACGCAATATTTCTCGGTCGTCAGCCATTGTCAGTCTGAAAAAGAACCATTTCAAGGTGACGAATGATTTTTGCTGAGAGAACCAGAGGCAACATTTCCAGTCTAAAAAAAAACTTTCGTAGGCCTACGGCTAGCCACTTTGATAAAATATAGGCAGGCTCTATTTGTAACGTCGTGTTCTGAATAGCTTCCGTGCTATTTGAAACGCCGCGTTCTGATTAGCTCCCACGCTGTTTGAAACGCCAGTACTAGTACCTATCGTTTCTACATAATAATATTGTAGTTCTGCCTGAATTGAGGAAACTTTCTCAGTTTCTTGACAAACCTCCTAAGATTTGACTCTTTTTTTAATGACATTGTCTTATTCCGATCTAACAATTGTGTCTGACATTGTTTGCACAAAAGTAGTCTTGTCCATCTCTCATAATATGATAATCATAATCATTTGAGTTTGAGCAAGTAAGTCAAAAGACGCTTGGATATAACAATAACAAGATGGTGCAACTCAGTAAGCACTATTTCCTGTCCGCAGTGTCGTCATAGTCATACAATACCTAACTCTAGACATATATATCAACTTGTGGCTCCATTTGCCAATGCAGGTGGTGTACAAAATAACCTCATCATAGAAGCATAACCATCACTCAAAACGTAACATATGATGTATCAAATTGAAGGAAATTGAATGAGGAATTCACCCCAATATGAAACAAGGATTAATTTTAAACATAAGTAAGCATTACTAGGGTTAAAAATGACAAGGTTGATGAGAAAAATAAATTGTGACAGAAAAAATTACATTCACCAAACATGTGGAAGCAAATCAGCATAGCTAGCTATCTTAACATTATACAGCCAAGAGCATTTCCATAAATTTCTGAATGTGCAGCTTTTTATTTGAAAGCAATATTCCACTTTTTGTTTGAGTTTTATGATATTTACTGAGTCCGGTTACATCGTTTTGTTATAAAATGCAAGACAGCAAGAACGAATTCACTCGTTTTTCCCCAAACAAACGCTTTGACAGAGTGAAACAGAACTAGATGTTTTCCTTACCTAAATCTTTCCGGAGTTTTTCAACAGCAATAAGAAGTCATTATAAATGACGGATCGTGATAAAACGAAACAATACTGAGACCCCTATCGCAGTGTGGACTCACGCCAATATATGTCTGCGATACGTCCGGAAAGAGCTAAAAATACTATCTCTGCGTGCACTTTATATTTTGCCATCACACACGACATCGCCTGATCTAGGCTTTGGCATTTTAATTAGCAGGGGGTAGTGTCTACGTTCTCTAACGTTAGGCCAAGAGAACATCTATACAAGCTGTCTACGTTCTCTAATGTTCTTTGCTACCAAGCGTGGCATCGAATCCCAGTCCCGGAAGGGGGTTTTTTCTTCTCCTGAGCCTAAAAAAAAAAATAATAATTGACTCACAGACCAAGGAAAACCACTATAGAACTTTCAAGGCCTAGTAAAGGAAAAGTATGCCTAATTTGTAGGTAAAAGGTCCTCTTGGGGACAAAACCAGAATGTGCATGATGCTTCATCACTACATAAAAAACTACAAGTTATAATTATGGGAAAAAAATTGCCGGGAAGAGGAGAAGGAAAAAAACAACAAGAAACAAACAAAGTTCCAGCACCGGGACTCGTTCCCACACTCGTAGTATTATGGTTTGACTTCAAACACAGGCGCGCTGTCCATTCGGCCATCAGAACTTCCAACAACGACGGGTACAAGCTTGATATTTTTAACAAACTGCATTTTATTTAGCACTGGCGCCAACCGTAACGTGACGTTTTATTAGCACTGGCGCTAATCGCAACGTGGCGTTTTATTTAGCACTGGCGCTAATCGCATCGTGGTGTTTTATTTAGCACTGGCGCTAATCGCACCGTGGTGTTTTATTTAGCACTGGCGCTAATCGCATCGTGGTGTTTTATTTAGCACTGGCGCTAATCGCACCGTGGTGTTTTATTTAGCACTGGCGCTAATCACACCGTGGTGTTTTATTTAGCACTGGCGCTAATCGCACCGTGGTGTTTTATTTAGCACTGGCGCTAATCGCACCATGGTGTTTTATTTAGCACTGGCGCTAATCGCACCGTGGTGTTTTATTTAGCACTGGCGCTAATCGCAACGCGGCGCTGCAAATAGGCACTTCATATGATCCAGATATTTCATGTATATGCTGTTCTGGTGTGCCGTAAGCGACGTCTAGACTCGAGTCCGAATAGAGTCTCCCGTTGCTATTCGGACTTTAAACTACTGGTAGAGGCTATTACTGTCACTGCGTGTCACGACTACAAAGGGATCAAAACATAAAATTAATAATCAGTCCATATAGCCCCCCCCCCCCCCTTTGCTCTCTCTCTCTCTTACTTTTTCTCTCCCCATCTTACTTCCCCAGGCCCGCCCCACCACCTTACCCCTTTCTTTTTTACATATATATAGATCTAGATCTAGATTCTAGATCTATATTCCCTACCATACCGTTGCCTTGCCCGGCCCTACTATATTATCCTTTATAAAGAAAAGACCACAGTTCGCGCTGGGTCACAACGGTCGGTGTCTATTTGATGTTTAAAATTCCTTGGCCAGGTCGTAGAAACTGAGGAAGGCCAAGGTCGAATTGCTAGTTGTCTGCTTCACATCCGGTACACCTAGTGATATTGCGTACGCACATTGGAGTTTCAGTCCGAATAGCCACAGAGGGCTATTTGGACTCGAGTTCAAATAGCCGTGGCCATTTTCAAAAGATAAATCATGTCAATTGTTTCAGACATTCAGATCTAAATAATGAAGAATGATTTCGGCCTCAAAGTCACAAGATCCCATTTTAAAATATGATTCAGCTTCGCTGACTGAATTTCGCTCTCGGCCTCGGCATCTCACTCGTCAGTCACAGCACTGCCACAAAATCGTTTCGTTATGAAAGTGGCTATTCTCACCCGCCCGAAAGTTCTCGCAAGATCAACACTTCCCCTCTTCTCTCTCTCTCTGTCTCTTTCTCAATACTGTCTATCGGTGTGGACGATCAAATTGACCAAAACAAAGTTAAAAAATGATGTTAAAACACAAAAGTAAATTAATTTGGTCGTCTACAAAGATGCTACAGCTATTTAACTTTTCGAATCGAGCCGAACTACGCGGGTCGCCATTTTGTTTTGCCCGGAAATTCTCGCGCTACTCCTCTCTCTCTTTCTCTCTCTCTCTCCACTGCCCACAGACAAAATTGTACTCTTTTAGTAGGCTACAGTTGTAATGGAACGTTTGTTCACGGCACAGAATTCGGTGCTTTTTCGGTAGTTCCCACCCCCCTTATTTGAACCTGACCTACATCTAGATCTAGATCTATATGATGTTTGATTCGCGGTGAGCTAAGATATCAAACCTAACAACTGCAAAACATTAAATTAAGGTAAAATTCAGGGGGGCATGCCCCCCTGAAACCCCCCTTCCTATTTTTATTAGGTCAGGGGGGCAAGCCCCCCTGAAACCCCCCTACTCTTGTGGCCCAAACCCGTGAATAAAATTGCGGGGTGGGAACTACCGAAAAAGCGCCCAGAATTCTACAATTTTTCTGTTATCACAGTGTAGAATTCTGTGGTTTAGGGTGAACGCAAAATTTGGTGAACACGCACCGGTTGAGAATAGCCACAAGACTCGCCTGCACTATTCTCACTCAGGGTGAGAATAGAGGTGGCCTTTGCCTTTAGTTTAGTTATTTATAAAATAATAGTAATTACTAATGACAGTCTAATGTGGTCATTTTATGGAAATGTGAGCACAGTAATTCTCAATGCAGATCAAAACCATGCGTGAATCTTTTCTCTTCTTGAACCGATATCCCTGAGTATAATAAAATTGGAAATTTGGCCTTGGCTTTGATACCGTGACTGTTTATAGGCCATCACTCACCGCCCTCCTCTCGTAATGTTTACCTGGAACCACAGAGACCGGAAGTTGATCATTTCAGGGACATGGGAAGACACTCTGATAAATCAGACAGGCAGAAAACAGACAAGAGTTGCTTCCCATTCAGACTGACGTGGGCGTGGCCACTGACGATTGGTTGTTGTTGTTGTTGTTGTTGTTGTTGTTGTTGTTATTTTGTTATTTTGTTTTTAGTTTTAGTAAGAGTTTACAGCACCTGCAACACAATAAGGTCATATAAGTGCAAAAGAATAGATATGTCACGAGAGAGTAACATACATAAAAATGAAGAGGAAAGATAAGGACGATAGATGTTTTATAGGGGAGAAGGAGAAATAATGGAGAAAGAAAAGAAAACTAGCAACATGCAGCCTTGAAGAAAATGTCGTGGTATTCATCAGCAACAACAGCGGTTAAATAGAATATTATTTCATGGTGGGACACCTGAAAAGACATAAGGGTCTTGAACATCTAGCTCTCACTGGCAAAATTGAGGGCAAGCGAGGCAGGGGTAGGCCCAGAACAACATACTTAGGGAACCTAAGCAAAATGGTTACAGGGAAAGATCAGGGAAACGTAGCTTTTTTTAGAGCATCCGAGCAAAGGAATGAATGGAAAACCATGATCGCCGATGTCTGTCACAGATCTGGCACTGGATGATGATGCTGATGAGTGCTAGGCTATTGATGGAGCAGGTAATCCAAGACGCAGAAAAACAACGGTGACATAGGTAGACGTAGAGACAACAACACTAGCATCAGCCTCCCCATCAGCAACAGAAAAAGTTGCACCAACAGTAGCAGCCCTTTGTTAACTCTCACTGGGACTTTTGGCCACCAAAGGAGCTTTTTGTCCGGACTATTCAAACCGCCATTATCAGTTCTCGCAGGCCTTTCGCTTTGAGTCATAACCTGCTCTTACCCCCAGGCCCCTTCCCTAACTCTGACTTGTGCTTTTGTCCTGGCCCTTCCTTTCCCTTAACCTTATAAAGCTTTTCCTCCTGCTCTTTCGGGAGCCCACAGAAGGGCTTTTGCCCTGGGTCTACCCTAGCCCCGAGAAGGGTTTTAGCACACAGCCCTCCTATCTCAACCCTTGCTCTCAGATGGGCTTTTATCCCCAGGTCTCTTCCACAGCCCTGAAGGGTTTTTATCCCCTGGCCTATTCTCTAGCCTTCAGAAGGGATTTTATTATGGCCGCTCCCTAGCCCCCCCCTCTCTCTCCCTCTCTCGCTCTCCCTCTCTCGCTCTCTCTCTCTCTCTTTCTCTCTCTCTCTCTCTCCCCCCCCCTCCCCCTTCTCTAGCACTCAGAAGGACATTTGCATGTCCCCTTCCTTCCTGTAAGCTTTTGGTCTGACGTCTACGTCCTGCAGTTGAAGCACGGTGTCGATTCGCTGACGATCCTTGGACTCAGATGGCAGGAACCGGTGCTTACATTTACCAGCTTCACACAAACCCCCAAAGAAAGTTCAACTTTCGCGTGCAACTAATAAACTTGATTTTAAAAAATTCGGAAGGACTTCCGTAACGAGAGACCACCCCAACTAGAACAATAAAGAAGAGATCTAGACCTAACCCTAGCCCAAACCCTAACCCCTACCCTTACCACTACCCCCAAACCCTAACCCCTACCCTTACCCCTACCCCCAAACCCTAACCCATACCCTTACCCCTACCCCCAAACCCTAACCCCTACCCTTACCACTACCCCCAAACCCTAACCCCTACCCTTACCCCTACCCCCAAACCCTAACCATAACCCTCTATTCTACTTTGTTTCATTGCGGTCACTCCTTACGGAATTCCTCCAAAAAATTCTGCACCCACTAATACAAACACACATTTCAAAACACAAACACAGGAAGAGTTCGGAACAGAACACCATCTTGTGTAGACTTATGATAGAAGTCCACAATAAATGCAAATTCTACAGAGAGAAATCACGAGACAATGATTTTGTGATTTCGTAAACAAGCCCATCGACCCCAGTCTTATACCAATAAGCTCTCTTTGTCAGAAAGTAAACAGCTTCTCCTACAATGCAGGAGATAGAGAAGTTTGGGAGATGGTATTTCCGAGGCCAACAGACAGCTGTCTCGTGACGTGAAGTAAAACAAGATAGATCTATTGAGTCAGACCTAATTTAAAAAAAAAAAATGCCTATGTTAGCGCATGCAAAACACAAAGTAGCTTTTAAAAAATAAGGAAAAAAATTAATTTAATGGAAAAAGTTGTACAGAACAATAAGACGAGAACTATCCTATCGAAACGAGAATCTGCGGAAGAAGAAATGAGACTGAATGATTGACTGAATGATTAGGTACATTTCACAAGATAACAGAAAAAGAAGAGACATAACAATATAGGTAGACAGACAGACAGACATACAGAGAGAGAGAGAGAGAGAGAGAGAGAGAGAGAGAGAGAGAGAGGGAGAGAGAGAG